TCTCTCTCTCTCTCTCTCTCTCTCTCTCTCTCTCTCTCTCTCTCTCTCTCTCTCTGGAATTAAACCCAGGGCCTTGTGCATGCAAAGCAAGCACTCTACCAACTGACCTATATCCCCAGCACCTGTTCAGAAGTACCAATATCCCTAATAGTTTCTAAGATGTCCTTGTATTCAAAACTTGATAAGGGTCAGCCATCTAGGAGGCAGAATATGGCCACTGATACTTTCATATGTGATATAGACACGTTGTAAATACCATCAACTTAAAAAGTCATGTTTTATACTTTATATTCATCCTACCTGTGCTGAGCCTATACTTAGAAGCCACATGTCTGGGTCAAAAAACAGTGACACAAGAAACATTTCTCAAGTAATGTTCTAGCTGTGGGTAATAACAGTGGAGAATAAGAAGGACAGAGTCTAAGCCCTCATAGAACTTACCTTTTTGTGGAAGGAAGAAAAAAAAGCGAAATATATGATCTAATATCAGGGAATTTTAGTTATTCTCCTATAATTTATTTGTCACTTATCTCAGAAGTAAAAAAAAAATTCTTCTGAGAAGTAAGGAAGAAGCTTAGAGAATTTTCTGATTTCCATGGTATTTTACAGCACTCACCTTAGAAAATACACAAGAAAATTCTTTAAGGAACAGAAGGAAAATGCTGAAGATTTACAAATTTTCTATTGCCCTTAATCCATAAGATTGTCTGATATCAAAGTGTGTACACTCATATGCTAATATAACACATACTATTATAGATGTATGCATATAGTAGAAGTACACCTTTAAAATATTTGCATTACATGCATTATTTGAAACTTCTGATTACAAGAGTAAAAATAGTTATTTTTTTCCTTAGAAGACTCTAGAAGAATTAAGCCTCAGTAATAAATTCCAGGGATTATAATGCATTTAATGATAAGAGAGACAAATATATGAATAAATAGTTGATTCATGATATATTATTAGCAATTTTGACAAGTAAAGCCTTTTGAAAAATACAGAAAGAGTTGATTCAGATTAGCAATATAAGTGCTAGAAAAATAACTGTAAAGTAAAATACTTTTTGCTATTTCAAGCTTGACTGTTATCATATATTTTAACTTACTTTTTTCTTTTTCTAATTTGTATAGTTCAAATTTGACTCCCTGGATCCAGAATTCCTAAACAGTCAGGTTTCTAAATATGCCAAAATTGTGAGTCAATTGGAAAAAGGCTTGCCACCCAACAATGTAGTACCCCAGATCAAAAGTAAAGTGGAAAAAATGAAAGAAAAGGTAAGGTTGTTGGAAATTATTTCAGAAACTCAGGCAAATCTGCTGTTAATTGATGCTTAAGATATCAAAATAAGGAAATATTTCCTGATTAAGTTAATTCTGCAGAGAGAAGAAAGTCCAATTCGTTTGTTTTCAGTAGGACATACTGCATTCATAGCTTCAACTGACCAACCAAATCATACAATTAAATGTCTTGGTTAAAAAAGCATTCAGAATACAAATTTCCCTAGTGATAGGATACATAATGCAGGAATATGAAGTATTTGTGCCAAGAAACATATCTGCTGTGCCCTCAAACAGCCAGGTAAGGTGAAGACAGCCTTGTCCATTTGCTCCTGTGCACCATACAACAACAGCATTTTCCTGTTGTGTTGTGATGTGAAGAAGGCTGAGAAGCTAATCTGTAGGTGTTCAGGGCTGACTTTTTGAAACAGATAGGAAAGGGAAATTTTGCCATGGTTTTTTCTTGTTAAGCTTAAATATATGGATGAAACACTTTCCCAAACTTACATGTCAGTTTCTTTCTTCCCTGTTTGTCTTTAGTGTAGTTATAACTACACTAAAGACAACAGGGAAGACAGTTGTAAATAATTTCACTTATCATGGTCTGCATTCCATCTTGAATACCCTCAAAATACAGTTAAAAAAAAACTTGCACATAGGAAAGGTCACTTCTTGTGGTATATAGTCCTATGGGTTTTTACAAATAGGTAGTCAGGTACCCAACACAACAATACCATACAGAAGTTCCATCAACCCCAATTCTCTCAGGATAGAAAACTTTATAGCCAGCCCCTCCCTCCATCACAATCTCAAGCAACCATGGATTAGTTTTCTGTCCTGATTGAAGTTTTTTACAGAGTGTTATATAAATAGAATAGTAACAAATGCAGCCTTTTGGGTCTAGCTTTATTCACTTAGAAAAATGCATTTAAGATTCTTCCATGTGCTCGTACTAGTATTTACAATGCATAATATACTCTTACAACTAAAATATAAAAAGGTAAATAACTTTTTAAATTGAGAAAATATCCAAAAGACGTTTCTTCAAACAACACATGATAAGATGCTGAACATTGTTAGTTTTTAGGGAAATGCAAATCAAAGCCACAGTGAAATACTACTTTACAACTATTAGAATGACTATGATCAAAAAAGATTATATGTAAATTTTGGAAGAGAGCTGGAGAAATTGGAACCCTCATATATTTCTGGTAGGATTGTAACATAGTACAGCCACTTTAGAAAACAGTTTGGCCATTTCTCAAAATGTTAAACATAGAGGTACCATGTAACTAAGTAATTCCACTCGTAAGTATTTACCCAAAAGGATTGAAACCTATGTTCACAAAAATTTTGTATTAATGTTCATAGCAGCCTAACATAGGAAAAAACTGAAATGTTCACAGCTAATAAGTAAAGAAACAAAATATAATGTATCCATACAGTGACATATTATTTAGCACTTATATATTATTTAGCAGTAAAAAGAAATGAAATATTGATACACCGCAACATAGATGGAATCTTGAAAACATTTTGGTAAGTAAAAGAAGCTATTCACCAAAAACCCTTCATGGCACATGATGTCATTTATATGAAATATCCAGAATATCCTTTTAAAAAGATGGATTTCTGGTTACCAGGCATTGTGGGGAGGGAAAGATAGCAGTACTAAGAGATACTGTAGGTATTGGATGTACTGGGGTGATGAAAATATTCTAAAATTAGATAGAGTTGATAATTGCATTAATTGTTAATTAGAATTTTAAAGATTCCTTCATATTTACATATTAATAGTTTGTTTTAACTGATGGTAGTAGTCTGTCATATAGATGTACCACTTTATTCATCAACTCTTGAAAGACATCTGGATTTCTTTAAGGTTTTTTAAGTGATTATAAACAAAACAGTTATAAACATCCAAGTATGGCTTTTGTGTTAATAAGAGTTATCAATTCATGTGAATAAATAACTATTAATTAGAATTTTTATATTTTATGGTAAATATGTGTTTAGCTTTATGTGAAACTGCTAGTTTTCTTTGCACCAGCAAAGTATAAGAATCTGTTTCTCTTCATTCTCACCAGCACTTATTATTGGGAGGGAGCTTTTTTGCTTTGTTTTTTGTTTACTTGTTTGTTTATTTTAATTTTAGTCACTCTAATAGATATGTAGTAGCATCTCATACTGTTCATAGTTTGCATTTTTCTAGTGAATATCTTTTCATATTCTATTTACCATACACCTAGTTCTTTGATGAAATGTCTGTGCAGATATTTTGCCCATTTTTAACCCATTTTGTCCCATTATCCAAGATATAGACCACTTATAAAAACTTAAATTGAGAAACAAATATACTACTTAGTAACTTTGAAATAATTATGTTTTAGAGTTCTATTCAAATAGATGAATGATAAGAACATTTTTAAAAAAGCATTTCCGTGTGTGTGTGTGTGTGTGTGTGTGTGTGTGTATGAAAAAATGAAGGATATATAAGCTCTAGATTTTGAGTTCCAACCTATTATAATGCACCTGTGTCAATTTTGTTAAAATATTTACAGAGTTGAAAACTTGGGACTTAATGGGCTAAATGGATTGTTTGCTTTATTATAATTGAATTTTAAGAGTTATTAAAGTATTCTGGCTATGATTCTTTTTTTCAAATATATACTGAAATTATTTTCTACCAGTCAATGACTTTTATCCTTGCACAGTAACTTTTACAGAGCAAAAAGATATTAATTTGGATAAAATCCACTTTATAATTTTTTTCCTTTGCAGATCAAGCCTTTAGTATAGTATCCAAACACTTTTTGTGAAAGCTAAGACAACATGTAGGTTTTCTTTGTGTTTTCTTCCAGAAGTTTTGCAGTTTAGCTTTCTGTATTTAAGTAAATGGTTTATTTTTGCATAAAGTATGAGGGTATATGTAAGTTTTACTTTTTTACATATGGATATCCAATTTATTGAGCTCCATTATTTGAAAAGTCATCCTTTTTCCATTGAATCACCTTTTCACTATTGCCAAAAGTCATCTGAGTATATGCTTTAGTCTATTTCTATATACTATACTGGTTTGTGGTTTTTGTGCTTATATTCATGAGGAACATTGATTTATAGTATTCTTGTAATCTTATTACATTGCTTTAGTATTACGGTACTGCTGCCTCATAAAATGAGTTGGGAACTGTTCCCTCTTGGTTTCTAGAAGATATTGTATAGAATTAGTATTATTAGTAAGAAATGGGGGTGTCCTGCCCTTTTTATACATTTTAGAATGTCTTTGTTCTCAGCCCTCCTTCTTCCCTTATCTTGCCATTCCCTCCCCCTCTCCACTTCTGTGTATGTGACTAAAAGGTGAAGGTGGAGTGATCCAAGGGTGGAATGAAGCTGTACAGGGGTAGAGGTAGGGGAAGACCAGCCCAGGAAGCATTAATGAACAACTCCTACAACTCCCTACAGGGAGAAACAATTCTTGGGGCAGATTACCTTAGCAACAGATTGGAAGTGGGGAAGGGAGTTGGAGATGTCAGCACTTGATTTTCTTTCCTTTCCACCCAGACCCCATTTTCCCAGTTGAACCAAATTATTTATTATCTACATTGACTGTCTTTTTGTCCCCCAGCATTGGTGTCTCTGAGAATGTTTGTTTTTCAGCTTCCAGTTATCATTGACTTGAGGAACCCAACTTTGAAGCCTAGACATTGGACAGCTATTGAACAAACCGTTGATGCCTCCCTGGTGGATACTGAAATTCCATTAACCTTGGAGAGGCTCTCCGAATTGCATGTGTTTGATTTTGGCCAAGAAATCCAGGACATATCTGGACAGGCTTCTGGAGAAGCTTCCTTGGAAATAATTCTTAAAAAGGTAATTCTGGAAAATACATATTTATTCTTAAAATCAGAGAATTAAAGGTTTTCAGACTCAACATAAATATCACCAATTTTTTATTATCTAAGTGGATTTTTTACCATTGCAGTTTGTACCCTCTTATTATCAACATCCTTTTATTCTCTTCTTACATTTATTATGTATTATTAATTATCACTATTATTAATATTATCTCTGTAAGTTCCCTCTTTCTGTCTCACCTGTCTCCCAACAGGAACTTGATGACAATAAGATTTGAAATGTGCATTCTTTTATAGGAAACCCATATACCAAGGAACATCTGTTAGATGTTTAGAGAAAAATACATTATTTGCCAAACTACCAAAGAAAACTGTGTTAAATATTTCAAACAGTTTTCCTACTTACAACACTATCTCTCTGCCCTTAAATCCATGCAAATCTTCTAGTTGCCTACATAAAAGAATATTTTTAATTTAAAGCATAAGATGATAGGCAATGCATATTGAATTACCATGAGTTATTTTTATGTGTCAACATTAATCAAATAAAGTAAGCAAATCAATGTCATCATCTTACCAACAAGACATGTTTAAGAATTTTAGGGGCAGTAAGAGGGAAAATAGGATAATTATAGAGTTTTTTCTTATTTTATTTCACATCCACTGATTGAGTACCTAAACATAAATGAATTTAGATTTTCTAAAATCTTGTATTATTTCTAAGGTGGAGGACTCTTGGAAAACAACTGAATTTGTTGTTCTGCCTCATCGTGACACTAAAGATGTATTTATCCTGGGAGGCACAGATGACATACAGGTGGGTAACTGGGTTGTTAAAATTTATGGTAAAGGTCATACTTCCAAAATTTTTTATGATATACTGAGAAGAGTTGATGAAACATAAGTGAAGGAAAAATCAAATTTGGAAAGCAAGATATTAACATGAATAATTGACTTGAATACTTATACATGAAATATTTATCAAGGAAATGAAAGTGACATATATATTTAAGAGTTTCAGTACTTGTAGTTGATAGCACCGTAAAAACAAAGAGATCAGTTATGGCTGAAGAGATCATAGAATTCTTCAGACATCAGCCAAGAAAAGCCAGACCTCAACAGTGGCAGCTGAGAAATACCAAAGAGAATAAAGGGTATTTCAAAGTGTTTCAATGAAGCAAATAAACATAAATGAGCACAATAAGAGTTCACCTTAATTTTCTGATATAAGGAGTAGGTGGTCATGCTGTATCAATCACAAAATAAGATAAATCTAACCCATGGTTGAAATATTTTTAGTCACTTGAAGTATAAAAGCACATTTGTTTGGCAAAGGAATTTGGGTCATAGAGCCCAAATTAAAAGGCTAAGCCCTAGTCTAAGGATGTATCCAGGACAAAATTGGAAATACAATGACTTTTTCCAGGTGTAGGTTGGAAGAGCAAGACTAGACATTACTTTTGGCAATCGATAGAAGAGCAAATTCAAAATAAAGGGCATTTGGTATGTGGCCAAGTAATGCCAACTGATGGGGTTTCTGCTTTCAGAAAGTTTATAATTAACACAGACAATTAAATCTTCCAGATTAATAGACACATCTTTTTTAAGTCCACATGTTCTGTGAGAATATTGTTGTGTAAAGGGGAACAGTAGAAAAGAAGGTAACAGGAAAACTACCTAGACCTTCAGAACTTGATATGAATTTTAATTTCATCTTGCTTGAGATAGTTGAAGGAAAAATGTTAACTATTGAACAGAAGAAAGCTAATTTTACAAATATAATGTATGATGAGAAATGAAGGTATGCTTGTGTGACTAAGTTATATAAAGAAGGTGCCATTTACTGAGTAGTAAGCAGGGAAAAAAGTGTTGAACCCAATAAAGTGTCATTAATAATTATAGGAACTGCAGAGATTTGGTAGTCAAAAGTCCCTGCATGATGCAGTTGTTGCCAGACTGAAGGGAATAAGCAGAGAAAATAGATGGGTAGAAAGTAGTTAAAGCTACAACTATTCGTTCCAAAAGATGGCCTTTAAATGGACTCTTGGGATTGAACATCTGAAATATCACTGAAAGCACAAATGCATGGTATTGCATGTATTTTCTCCACTTTTTCTTAAAGGTCCTTCTTGATGACAGCACTATCAACATTGCAACCATTGCCTCATCACGTTATGTAGGTCCCCTTAAGGCACGAGTGGATGACTGGCAAAAACAACTTGCTTTGTTTAATCAAACACTGGTAAGTAAGAGAGTAATTTCAATACAGAGCCTCCAATAACCGGAGAGCCATAGGCCCTTAGAAATGTTTGTTTCACTATTTAAATACTATATAATTTAGAAATGTATGATTTAAATTTTGATATTATTATATCTGGAATGTAAGGAAAATACACATGTATGGAGCTCTTTACATAATTATGCAGCTTGTATTATTCTTTTTCCATGAAACGAAATATCACAAACTTAAGCAAGGTACATTTATTGATAGTGTGAAACAATATATATTTATTATCTAAGTTTCTATGGTCCAAGAGTTCAGATGTGGTTGTACTGGGCCTGTTCAGGGTCTCACAAGGCTGTTATAAAAGATGCCAGCCAGACAGGATTCTCACCAAAGGTTCATCTGGGGAAGGATCCACTTCCAGGCTCCCTCACTTCAAGAAATTATTTCCTTGCAACTCTGGAAATGAAGGCTTCAATATCTTACTGGATCTCATATGGAGGTCATCCTCAGCTCCTAGATGTTACTCAGTTTTTCTTTGGGTGGATTTCTGCAACATGGCCACTTACTTCATCAGTCTAGCAAGGAAAAGAAAATCTCCTGGCAAGATAGCTGCTTCAGTGTTATTAAACACAAATGTAATCATGCACATCCTGTTGCCTTTGCCACATTCTGTATGGGTAGAAGCAAGTCATAGGTGTACCACACTCAAGAGGGGAGGATCCCACAAAGGCCTGAGTACCATATCCTGGTCCACCTTAAGCATCTTGCAATAACCACCTTATGTTTACTGGAAGAATATTTATTGTTGCTTGAAGCCCCTTGGAATGCTTCTTGTGGCGCATACCTCTTTTTTATTCTACCTCAACTTATCCCCAAATAAGACAAGAACCCATTCATACCAATCTCACTTTCTTCCTATCCACTTTCTTCTCTTTTACACATCAGATGTTTAGCTTGATTTAATTATGTTTAAGTTTTCTACATATTCTAATATAAAAAGTTTTATGTGAAATAATAAAATCAGTAATTAGAAAAATGTAACTTATTCTAGGATGGATGGATGGATGGATAGATAGGTAGGTAGATAGATAGATAGATAGATAGATTTTTTTTCAGTGCTAGAAATCAAACTCAGAGCCTCACACATACTAGGCAAGCCCTCTAACACTGAGCTACTCCCCTAGCCTTCTCACCTTTATTTCAAAGGAAACTTTTCAGAAAACCATTCTCTTCAATGAATACTACATAGCTGACCCAGGTCCAGCCTCTGCACTGATGATGAACCTTATGAAGGGACTACAGACCAAAGTCAAAGGGCATATTTTCACAGAGGGTTCTTAAAAGAAGCCTGTACTGAATAGTGGGGACCCTCAGAGAATTCATTGTCTGGAAAGTATGAGACCATAGAAAAACCAGGTTAAAACACATATAGGTGTCTCCCATCTCTAGAGTGAGAAGTGAGAAGTAAGAAACTCTCTAATAGATGTTGGGCCCACACTTGCAATGACAGGAGACCTTAAGGAAAGGTAAAGTCTATAGACTTTGATTTCTGACCCTACATTTCTGGTTTCTTTTATTTTTATTTTTTTCCTTTTATTCATTTACTTATATGTGGTGCTGAGAATCAAATCCAATGCCTCACATCAATGCTAGGAAAGTGCTCTACCACTGAACCACAACCCTAGCCCTCATAAGTTCCTTTTTTTATTTATACATAAGAGCAGAATGCATTACAATTCTTACTACATATATAGAGCACAATTTTTCATATCTCTGGTTGTATATATACTATATTCACACCAATTTGTGTCTTCATACATGTATTTTGGATAACAGTGATCATCACATTCAACCATCATTAACTAACCATGCCCCCTCCCTTCCCCCTCCCACCCCTCTGCCCTATCCAGAGTTCGTCTATTCCTCCCATGCTCACTCTCCCTATCCCACTATGAATCAGCCTCCTTATATCAAAGAAAACATTTGGCATTTGGTTTTTTGGGATTGGCTAACTTCACTTAGCATTATCCTCTTTAACTCCATCCATTTACCTGCAAATGCCATGATTTTATTCTCTTTTATTGCTGAGTAATATTCCATTGTGTATATATGCCACATTTTTAATCTATTCATCTATTGAAAGGCATCTAGGAGTTCCACAATTTAGCTATTGTGATTTGTGCTGATATAAACATTGATGTGGCTGTGTCCCTGTAGTATGCTGTTTTTAAGACCTTTGGGTATAGACCGAGGAGAGGGACAGCTGGGTCAAATGGTGGTTCCATTCCCAGTTTTCCAAGGAATCTCCATACTGATTTCCATAGTGGCTGTAGCAATTAGCAGTCCTACCAGCAGTATATGAGTGTACTTTTTTCCCCATTCTCGCCAACAATTATTGTTGTTTGAATGCATAATAGCTGCCATTCTGACTGGAGTGAGATGAAATGTTAGAGTGGTTTTGATTTGCATTTCTCATGAAATTCAACTGGAAAATAAGAAACTCAGAATAGCTAAAGCAATCCTTATCAGGAAGAGTGAAGCAGGTGGCATCACTATACCAGAACTTAAACTATACTACAGAGCAATAGAAACAAAAACAGCATGGTATTGGCACCAAAACAGACTGGTAGACCAATGGTACAGAATAGAGGACACAGAGACTAACCCACAAAATTACAATTATGTTATATTAGACAAAGGTGCCAAGAACATGAATTGGAGAAAAGATAGCCTCTTCAACAAATGGTGCTGGGAAAACTGGGAATCCATATGCAACAAAATGAAATTAAACCCCTATCTCTCACCATGCACAAAACTCAACTCAAAGTGGATCAAGGACTTAGGAATACAACCAGAGACCCTGTGTCTAATAGAAGAAAAAGTAGGCCCCAATCTCCATCATGTGTGATTAGGCCCCAACTTCCTTAGTAAGACTTCTGTGGCACAAAAATTGAATCAATAAATGGGATGGACTCAAACTAAAAAGTTTCTTCTCAGCAAAAGAAACAATCTGTGAGGTGAATAGAGAGCAAATCTTTACCCCTCACTCATCAGATAGAGCACTAATCACTAGTGTATATAAAGAACTAAAAAAAAAAAATAGACACACACACACAAAACCCCCCACAAATAACCCAATCAATAAATGGGCCAAGGACCTGAGGAGACACTTCAGAAAATGATGTATAATCAATCAACAAATATTTGAAAAAATGTTCTGGTTTCTTTTATTAACAATAGTTGTCTCTAAAAGGAGATGCAATGCATGGTTTTCTTCATTCTCCTAGTCTTTTGTACTTTCCACATGTTTTGTTATGAGCAGGTTTTATGATTTTTTCCTTTCTTAAAAAATGCAAAGGACTGGGGCTCAGTGGTAGAGCACTTGCCTCATACACATGAGGCCTTGGGTTCGATACCCAGTACCACATAAAAATAAAAAAATAAAAATAAAGATATTGTGTCCATATACAACTAAAACACAAATTTTTAAAAATGCAAAGAAAAGCTTCATAATTTAGAAAGGAAAAAAAAGCCAAGCACAATATTGCACACCTATAGTCCCATCTACTCAGGAAGCTAAGGAAGCAGGAGGATTACAGATTTGAGGCCAGCCTCAGCAACACAGTGAAACACTAATTCAAAACAAATTTTTTCATGGTAACCCAGGGTAAATTTTGAATAGTCACTAAACTTGCCACTTTCCCAACCTTCATGTTAATTAAGTAAGCATCTCATCTCCCCCTAGCTTGTTTCTTCCAGGCGTTTAATCATGCGGCAGACTCATTGTAACACTAATCAATGGACAGTGGGGTGAAATCAGGTGGAGCTGAGTCTTGGACCCTTTAAGAAAATTTCATTTCAAAGTACATGGAAGGAACCATAAATCCTCAGGAGAAAAGATATAGTAATTCCCCATTTGATAAGGTTTTTTAAATATTTTTTTTTAGTTGTAGATGGACACAATATATTTATTTATTTATCTTTATGTGGTGATGAGGATCCAACCCAGTGCCTCACACATGCTAGGCAAGCACTCTACCACTGAGCCACAACCCCAGCCCCACCATGTGGTAGTTTTTAATGTAACTGAATATCTTAGATTTGAAAGTTAAAAATTTTGATAGATCCCATATTTTTCTCCTAGGAAGAATGGCTTACCTGCCAGAGAAACTGGCTCTACCTAGAAAGTATTTTTAATGCTCCAGATATTCAGAGGCAATTGCCTGCAGAGGCCAAGATGTTCCTTCAAGTGGATAAATCATGGAAAGAAATCATGAGGAAAGTGAACCGGCTGCCTAATGCTCTTCGAGCTTCTACTCAACCTGGTATAAAACAAATTTTTAAACACAAGTAAAAAGATTTTGCAATCATCTAAAATGTTTGTCACCTATAAGAATTTAATAGTATATGGTACTTTTAACACTTCATGGAACACTGTACCTTTTCTTATTATCATCTCTCAGCTTAATGTGTAATGTTGGAAAATAAGTATTTACTTCTCTTTTTTCTATTTTTATAATTTGAGGATGTTGACACAGGGTATCAATTGCCCGCAGTCTGGCTGGGCACAATTCAGGAGCCACTTGTCAAAAGAAACGAACTTTATTTTTAGAACCAGACACACACGCCAAACAAAACAGCTCCTCAGGAAAAACCTTCAGAGCCCAACTGCCACCACCGGCTTCCCACAAGCCTCTCCACCTCCCCCACTCCTCCTGCTCTTGAGGCTGATTGGCTGGGTCATGTGGGCGGAGCCAAAAAAAGTCCCCCAATGAGCAGCTCTGCAGAGGAGCCAGTCAGTTAGAAGTTGCTGGGGCCACTGTGAGCCAATCATCAGCTGGCAGCTGGAAGTTTGCTGGCAGCTGGAAGTTTGCTGGGGCCCCTTCGGCTACGGCTCTCAACAATCAATAATGTTTCTGCCTCACATTTTTTTTAAACAATTTTGACTTTTTTACAGTTTTACAATGTCAACAAGACATATATTTATATTCAGTTGACTTACTGTATCAATGTTTCCCACAGACATAAGCACAAAAATTTCCACACTTTATTTTTAATTCATTAATTAATACTAGTTAAAAATATTACCACTTACTGCAATTCTAGTCTCAAAGTTGAAATGTTTTAATAAATTCTGTTCTCTGGGTATGAAACCAGTCTTTCTGGGTGCATATACATGGCAATATACTACTCTTTAGACCAAAGTCTCATCAAACCTGCTTATCATATAGCAAATGGCAACACATAGACTATCTTGGTGAATATTCCCAGACAACTTCACTGCCAAGCAAGGGAAGGTTGTTGGGTTGTGCTCTCTTTCCAAAAAATCTTATATAAGAAGCAAACAGAAAGAAAAACCTATATGGAAAGAGAGAACCAAGGGTTAGTAATGAAGAAATAGTGTTCCATTGCCCCAGTTTTGTCCTTTAAAGATAGCAGAGGATACAGAGGATAGTAAAAGTAAGAAAGTGACAGAGAATGGGGAGGTTCTTGAGACTGGCTGTATTTGGAAAATGAAGGAGAAGGCAAATACCTGGCTTTTGTTTGTGTTCTCCCAGACTTCTAAAAATGGAAGCCAACTATATTTCAAATATATTTGTTAATATATGGTAATATTAAAATTAATGTTGTTATTAAAACTAATGTTAAATTCTTAGCCAATTCCTCACTTTTATTAGTCCATTCTTCTATCAAATAAAGCTAAGGTTTTTAAAATTTGAGTATTATATTTTACTTTCATTTAAAGTCATATTCTCTATTTTAATACAATTTTGACATTACTATTTTTTTTCAATGAACAGGACTTCTGGAAACTTTTCAAAACAATAATGCATTACTTGACCAAATTCAGAAGTGTCTAGAGGCCTATTTAGAATCCAAAAGAGTTATCTTTCCAAGGTAAGTTTATAAGGCAACCTAAGGCATTTTTAATAGTTGTCCAGCAGAGAGAGAAGCAAGAAAGATTTGTGACAATGAAAATCCAGCTTGTATTTTTATTGGGACTGTAAGTCTGAAGAATAAGTTAACAATATTTGCTAAAGATTTAAGTGGAAAAGTGCTGGAAGGATTCTTTTTATTCCAAACCAGTTTTTATTTAAGTTGTTGTAAAAGCATTACAAGCATTGTTTTTAAATAGCATTGTAAAGAAATCAATCAGAGAAATAAAATCAGCAAGGCATACTGGAATTAAGGAAACTCAGATTAGCTATACATGACAATTAAATACTTTTGGATAAATTAAACATAATATAGAAAGTGTATTACTAAAGACAAATTTAGAAGAATATTTCATTATTTAGAGCAGGGATCAGTCTTTCTTTTTAAATAAAAGGCCACCGAGTAAATATTTAAAGATTTGCAGGCCATACAGTTTGTTGCAAATACTCAACTCCCCTATTGTACCCCAAAAGAAGCCATACAAAGTATATCTGCATGTCAGTGTGACTAAAAGATCTTTATTGACAACAACAGATGGCAGGCCTGATTTGTCACGTGGGCTATAACTTGCCAAACCCTTATTCTGTAAGTTCACATTTTTTTAAACCCGTCTTGCTGATAATGACAATGAAACATATACAAAATAGTTTTCTTTGCACAAGTATAGCCTTTATATAGTTGTAAATGGTTAATTGGCAAAATAATATTCTGTGACTTTCCACATAGCACATGCTGCAGGGACCAGCATATGCTTTTGAATCATAATGATTACCCACTATACATTAATAGAACCAAATAAGGTTCCTGAAAACACTCATTCACCTGTTGAACAAATAATGTATAGATTAGTAGGTATGTGTGAGTTACTAGGCAAGATGGATTCTAGGGAGAAGAAATAATATATCTTCATCCTAGAAGCTCAAATGCTAGTAATGCATATGTTAATAAATCAGTATCATAACAAAAACTAACAATTTTATAATATTTTATGAAAAATATCTAAGTTAATTCTAGATATTTGAACTGCATCATCACTAATATTTATAGAAAATTTATTAAGAGAACTGTGGTTTCCCCAGGAATCCAGATCTAGTATAAATAAAGGTCCAGGAAATTAGTGGATTAGAAGAGATGTGCCTAAGTAATTTATCTTCTATATCTGCCTAAGGCTTAGCTTCAATTTCAAGTTATATTTTAAAGATTCTCTTGAATACAGATTTTACTTCTTGTCAAATGATGAACTTCTGGAAATCTTGGCCCAGACACGAAATCCACAGGCTGTTCAGCCTCACCTAAGGAAATGCTTTGACTCCATTTCAAGGCTTGAATTTGCTCTCATGCCTCCTGCTGAAGGAAGAATTCCTAGTATTGACGGAGAGCCAGAAAAGGTTTACACTAATGATATCTTAGCGATGCTGTCACCAGAGGGAGAAAGGGTGAGGTGCTTTTGTTTATAAATCCTCAAAGATAAATTGTTACTCTCCCAGTGCTGGGGTAGATATCTGCACATTCTCATTCTAAGCATGCCAGGTGCTCTATGAGCTCTGTGGTTTCAAGGATAACCAAGAAAAAACCTTTGTTCTGACAGAACTCAAACTCTAATGGAGAAATTATCAAACAATTAAAAATCACACAGAAAATGCTGTAACAGAGACATGTGCTCTGTTCTTAGAAACAAAGTGGAGAAAACAGGAAACATGTCTTACCCAACTCTCCACAAGAGGCAAAATAGTGGATTAGTTTAGAGTGCCAGTTCTTTGCCAGGCCACCTAGATTTAAGACCCCATTTAATCACCTATATAAAGTGAGGATTAGTACCTGATTAGTGGCATGGTAACTTTCAGGTATTACTTTATATGAATTTTACTGGGTACTTAAAGCAATACCCAGTGAGCATTGTGTGTTAGTTACTAGTGATAGCATATCCAGGGCATTTCACAGCACCTAGAATATGGTGAACACTAAGAGAATGAATGTATTGGCTGACTGTGAGGAATCAAGCAAGTGCCATGCATGTACACACACACACCCACACACAGTCAAAAAAAAGGTGAGAAGTATCTGTTGTATGGTCACAAAAGTGAAAAGCATTATAGACAGAAGAACTATGCAAAGAAATGCCAAGGAATTAGGTTCAGTTGGAGCATAATAAGTGTATCTGTAGGAGAAGTGGGACCCCATAAACATTTATTTTTATCCTGAATTGAACTTCTTGCAAAAGATTTTGCTCATGGTGCAGAAGAAGAAAAAGGGGAGGATTAAGGATAGAGTCTTGGGGAAACATGAAATTTAAAGGGAGGTTAGAAGAACAGATGAAATGTCCAAAACAAGCAAATATTTAAGTCATTTGAAGTCTAAGAAATAAATATGAGACGTACTAAAGAGTGTCAATTGGACCTTTCATTTGGGAGGACATGGGTAACTTTAATGAGAACAGGTTTAGAGGAAGCGTTGGGAATAAAAATCTGATGATAAGTACAAAAATGGAAATAATTGAAGAAATTCATGTAGCACGTATATATTCCTCTTATAAGGAGTTGGCTCCAAGAGTAAACAGTAAAACAGTGCAGTATTTATATGTTGGAGGAGGGTGATGGGATGGCAATAGAAAATTCTAGTATTTGTGTTCAGCTTTTAGTATTTATATAACTTAGGGATCTGTTACAGAAATAAAGAAGATGTGTGTACCTTACAAGTCCTACCTGAACCATTATATCATTGCTCTGATTACCTTCTAGGTTGGCTTGGGAAAAGGCCTCAAGGCTCGAGGCAACGTGGAGGAATGGCTTGGTAAAGTGGAAGAGGCCATGTTCACATCTCTGCGGCGCCTGAGCAAAGCTGCCATTGCTGACTATCAGGGGAAACCAAGGACACAATGGGTGGTGGCAGGCCACCCTTCTCAAGTAACACAAGCAAACTGGTTAAATTTCCATTTCTGGATTCTTCTTTGGTGAGATACATCAAAATTAATGAGGATGTTTGTTTTTGTTTTCTTTTCTCTGCCCCCACCCCTCAGGTTATCCTGACAATTTCTCAAATTATGTGGTGCCGTGATTTGACTGAATGTCTGGAAACAGAAGACAGCAATCACATAGAGGCCCTAGAAGCTTTTGAAACAGTAAATTTTGAGGTGAGATTTTTAACAGAGTGACATGGAATATATTCACATGAGGTACAGTTTCAGTGGTTTTTATTTGAATGGTTAGTATACATTTGTTTTATTTCAGCAATTCTAATGCTCTGACACAACTTTTCAAAGCTTTGATATTCTTACTAAAATCGTGCATGTTCAACTATTCTTAGGGACATTACCTTTATGTTTGTTTAGTATTCATATGAGTACTTAAAAAATAGAAGAAAAACAGTTCAAGAGGAAAACATCAGTTCTCATGATTTGTAGCTTTTAAGGAATAACTGTGCTTAGAAGGTCTATCTTCTTTAAAACTTTTTAAGTACACAATACAATATTGTTAACAATAGCATAATGCTGTATAATGGATCCCTAGAACCTAGTCATCTTGCGTAACTGAAACTTTATAAAGCAACTTCCTATTTTTCCATTTCCCCATCCCTTGGCAACCACAGTTGTACTCTGTTTCTATGGGTCTGCCTATTTAAGATACCTTATATAAGTGGAATCATTCATTATTTTTCTCTCTGTGACTGGCTCATTTCACTTAGCTTAATGTCTTTTAGATTCATCCAAATTATTGCATATGATTTCCTTCTTTTTAAGGCTGAATGATATTCTATTGTATATTTATGCCACATTTTCTTTATCTATTCATCAGTTACTGGACTTTTAGATTGTTTCTACATCTCGGCTATTGTGAACATTGATGCTATTAACATAGAACTAAGATACCTCCTCAAGATCCTGATTTCAGTTCTTTTTTATATGTGTCCAGAAGCGGGATTGCTGAGCCATATAGTAATTCTATTTTAAATTTCTTTGGAAAACTTCTATGTTATTTTGCACAGTGGCTGCATCATTCCTGTGTTCTCTTATCTACACGTTCTTGCCAACACTTGTTGTCTTTTCATTTTATTTTTATTTTTTAAATATTTATTTATTTATTTTTTAGTTTTCGGTGGACACAACATCCTTATTTTATTTTTATGTGGTGCTGAGGATCGAACCCAGTGCCCCGTGCATGTCAGGCGAGCACACTACTGCTTAAGCCACATCCCCAGCCCCTCCTTTTATTTTTGATAGTATTCATCCTACCAGTTTTGAAGTAATATTACATGTTGCTTTTGATTGTCATTTTCCTGGGGATTAGTGATGATATTGAGCTTTTTAAAAAAATTGTTCTAATTAGTTATACATGATAGTAGACTACATTTTGATATATCATACATAGATGCAGAATAACTTCTCATTCTTCTAGTTGTATATGATGTAGAGATATACTGGTCACATAATCATATATGCACATAGCACACTCATACATTGCTGGTGGGATTGTGAATTAATGCAGCCAATCTGGAAAGCAGTATGGAGATTCCTTGGTAATTTGGAATGGAACCACCATTTGACCCACCTGTCCCACTCCTCCATCTATACCCAAAGGACTTAAAAACAGTATACTACAGTGACACAGCCATATCAATGTTTATAGCAGCACAACTCACAATAGCTAAACTGTGGAACCAACCTAGATGCCCTTCAATAGATGAATGGATAAAGAAACCACGCATATATACACAATTGAATATTACTCAGCATTAAAAGAGAATAAAATTATGGCATTTGCAGGTAAATGGATGGAGTTGGAGAATATCATGTCAATCCCCCAAACCAGGGGCCAAATGTTTTCTCTGATAAGTGGATGCTAATCCATAATGATGGGGGGAGGGTACATGGAATTAGCGGAGGAACTTTAGATGGGGCCAAGGGGAAAGGAGGGAGGAGGCATGGGTGTAGGAAAGATGGTGTAATGAGACTGACATCATTACCCTAGGTACATGGATGATTGCACGTATGGTACTTCACATACTTCATGTACAACAAGAGAAGTGAAAAATTGTGCTCTGTTTGTATATAAATGAATTGAAGAGCTTTCTACTATCATGTATAACTGATTAGAACTAATAAAAATGTCATAGAAAACAAAAAATCATATATGCACATAGGGTAATAATATCCAATTCATTCTACTCTCATTCCTACCCTCATAACCCTTCTCTCCTTCATTCCTCTCTTCCTAATACAAAGTACCTCTATTCTTCCCTAGCTGCCACCTTTATTGTAAATTAGCATCTGCATATCAAAGAAAACATTTGGCCTTTGGTTCCTAGGGATTGACTTATTTCACTTAGCATAATAGTCTTCAGTTCCATCCATTTACTGGCAGATGCCATAATTTCATTCTTATTTTTGTTTTTGTTTTAGTTTTACTTGCAGAGGTAGTTTATTATAAGCAAAACAGATGGTTGGCTCTTGATTACACCTGCATATACTATCATCAGGAAAATATTTTTGTTAAAAAACAGTTAATCTTGCATAGGCCTAAAGTAGCTGTGGTTCAATCACTCAGCAAATAGAGTAGGTCGACATGGTGGGTAATTTCACCAATACTGCTGATGAGACACAGGAGCAAGCTGCTCCTATGTGACTTTCACAGTCCTGGACACTGAAAGGTGCCCTGGAATCACCATTTGTAGGATGGGAATTGAGAAGAGAGTTCCAAGGGCTATTGCTCTTTTCTTCAATGTCCATCTGCACACCTAGAAAGGAGGGTGGATTTTGCCTTAACCAAACAAACGTTTCTTTTTTTGCCATTATACATGAGCTCTCTTATTATTATTATTTTGCAATACAATTCTTAATACACCTTTATACCACAATTTATCATACCTCTGTATATAAGATATGTTAACACCAAATTCACATCTTCATACATGTATTTTGTATAACGATAAGGGTCTCCTTCCACCATCCATGCTATTCCCCTTCTCCCTCCTTTTCCCTCCCACCTCTCTTCCCTATCTAGAGGTAATCTTCCTCCCATGCTCTCCCTCCCTACCTCATTTTGAGTCATCCCTCTTGTATCAGAGAAGACATTTGTTTTGGGGGATTGGCTAACTTCACTTAGCATAATCTGCTCTAATGCCATCCATTTCCCTGCAAATGCCATGATCTTATTCTTTTTTAGTGCTGAGTAATATTCCATTGTGTATAAATGCCACATTTTTTTTATCCATTCATCCATTGAATGACATCTAGGTTGGCTCCACAGTTTAGATATTGTGAATTGTGCTGCTATAAACATTGATGTGGCTGTGTCCCTGTAGTATGCTGTTTTTAGGTCCTTTGGATAGAGTCCAAGAAGAGGAATAGCTGGGTCAAATGGTGGTTCCATTCCCAGCTTTCCAAGGAATCTCCAAACTGCTTTCCAAATTGGCTGTACCAATTTGGAGTCCCACCATCAGTGTATGAGTGTACCTTTTTCACCGCATCCTCACCAGCACTTGTTGTTGTTTGTCTTCATAATGGATGCCATTCTCACTGGAGTGAGAATGGTATCTTAGAGTAGTTTTACTTTGCATTTCTCTGATTGCTAGAGATGATGAGCATTTTTTTTTGTATATTTGTTGATTGATTGTATGTCCTCTTCTGAGAAGTGTCTGTTCAGGTCCTTGGCTCATTTATTGATTGGATTATTTGTTTGGTTTTTTTGTGTGTGTGTGTATGTGTGCTTATCTTGTTGAGTTCTTTATATACCCTAGAGATTAGAGCTCTATCTGATGTGTGAGGGGTAAAAATTTGTTCCCAGGATGTAGGCTTCCTATTCACCTCACAGATTATTTCTTTTGCTGAGAAAAGACTTTTTAGTTTGAGTCCATCCCATTTGTTGATTCTTGGTTTTAATTCTTGTGCTATAGGAGTCTTATTAACGAAGTTGGGGCCTAATCCCACGTGATGGAGATTAGGACCTATTTTTTCTTCTATTAGACATAGGGTCTCTGGTTTAATTCCTAGATCCTTGATCCATTTTGAGTTAACTTTTGTGCATGGTGAGAGATAGGGATTCAATTTCATTTTGTTGCATCTGGATTTCCAGTTTTCCCAGCAACATTTGTTGAAGATGCTATCCTTTCTCCAGTGCATGCTTTTGGCACCTTTGTCTAATATAAGGTAGTTGTAATTTTGTGGGTTAGTCCTGTGTCCTCTATACTGTAACAATTGGTCTACCAGCCTATTTTGGTGCCACTACCATGCTGTTTTTGTTCCTATTGCTCTGTAGTATAGTTTAAGGTCTGGTATAGTGATGCCACCTGCTTCACTCTTCCTACTTAGAATTGCTTTAACTATTCTGGGTCTCTTATTTTTCCAGATAAATGTTATGATTGCTTTTTCTGTTTCTATGAATAATGCCATTGGGATTTTGATTGGAATTGCATTGAACCTGTATAGTGCTTTTGGTAGTATGGTTATTTTAATAATATTAATTCTGCCTATCCATGAGCAAGGTAGATCTTTCCATCTTCTAGGGTCTTCTTCTATTTCTCTCTTTAGGGTTCTATAGTTTTCATTGTATAGATCTTTCACCTCTCTTGTTAAGTTGATTCCCAAGTATTTTTTTTCTGAGGATATTGTGAATGGGGTAGTTTTCGTCATTTCCTTTTCAGAGGATTTGTCACTGATATACAGAAATGCCTTTGATTTATGGGTGTTGATTTTATATCCTGCCACTTTGCTGAATTCATTTACTAGTTCTAGAAGTTTCTTGGTAGAGTTTTTTGGGTCTTCTAGGTCTAGAATCATATCATCAGCAAATAGTGCTAGTTTAAGTTCTTCTTTTCCTATAGTTTATTCCTTTAATTTCTTTCATTTTGTCTAATTGCTCTGGCCAGTGCTTAAAATACTATGTTGAATAGAAGTGGTGAGAGAGGACATCCCTGTCTTGTTATAGATTTTAGAGGGAATGCCTTCAGTTTTTCTCCATTTAGAATGATGCTGCCCTGAGGCTTAGCGTAGATAGCTTTTACCATGTTGAGGTGAGTTCTTGTTATCCCTAGTTTTTCTAGTGTTTTGAACATAAAGGGGTGCTGTATTTTGTCAAATGCTTTTTCTGTGTCTATCAAGATGATCATATGGTTCTTATCTTTTAAGTATTTTGATAT